CGACTGTTACATGTAACAAAGGATTTATGCAAATGATGATTTTGAAGTGGCCATAACTACTGTTATGACAACGCCCCTAGACGTTGCAAAAACGAGAATAATGTTATCAAATACTAATGAAAAAAAAGAGGAGACCAGAATTTCTGTAATGTTAAAGGATGTTTATAGAAAAAACGGTGTTAGAGGGTATGTAGTCAATAATTTTTTTATGAGTATCAATATTCTTTCACATAATAATTTTTGTTGTTGTATTTCTTAGACTTTTTGCAGGTTTTCTGCCCCGAACGACTGGCTTTACGATTAACGGATTTGTATTTTTTGCTATTTATGAAAAAGTTAGAGAAATTTGCACAACGGTTCTACCTCTCTAATGGTGTGAATAAGTATGCAATAATATCGACTCAGCACTAATTGTTCTTTGCACATTGATGATATTGCACAGCCAAGCACATTGCAATAGATGTAATGAAGCAATAATTAAGAATGAGTTTCATAATATGAAAGTAAGAACCGTCTATTGAAGTGTTTACAATTGTTTGTTTTTATATAAGTAATAATATTTATTATTGCAATTTTCTAGGGTCAATGTGAATGTCTCAAATTTTCTTATGCCAAACAAAAACATTGAATAAAGTATGGAACAAACATAAGACCATTCCACAGTTCTAACATCATTGCTTCATTTCAAAATAATATGTACTATAAATATTTTAAGTAATAAAAATATTGTATTTCGAAATTACATTTTTAGATTATATCAAGATATATTGCACAAGGTAAATTGGATTAACATTTATCTTAAAGATACAAACGTCGTTGACGAAGTGAATACAATACTAGGAAACTGGACATATATTTGCAAGTAATATTTAAAAGTAATGATTTCTTTACTTTTACTATATGTTATTACTTGTGTAATAATGTATCAAAGTTCAGTACATAATACACGAACATGTCGTTAATAGGTACTGACATAAAAGAATTGCAACAATACTTAATATTGATTTCCTTATGTCTATGAACAACAATGAGATCTTTTCTCAGGCTCAGTACTTATATTAATTGCTTCTCTTTCATTTAGAACACTTGGATTGTCAACAATGAAGTCATATGCAATTACATTAAATAATTCATCTATAAAAATAAATTAATGAGCATACAACATGATTTAGTACCAATATAAATCTAACATATATCCTTACCAACATTTTCTCCAGTTTTACTGGATGTTGTAAAGAATTTAGCTTGGACACCTTTAGCATATGTTTCTACAACATCTATATCAGGATTTGCAATTGCACCAAGCTCTAACAAATCTTTTTTTGTGGCACAAATATATATTTTACATGCATCTTCAATAACTCTTAGTTCTCTTATCCAAAACTTTGCCCTTTGGAAGGTCTTCAAGTTTGTTATATCATAACACACTACTGCAGCTTTCGCACCACGGTAATATATTTTAGTCATTGCATCGTACCTACACAAATATGAGGCTTATGTGTATTTTAACAACCACAGATATTGTATTGTATTTGTACAACTTTAATAAGTTAATGACAAACGCTTACCTTTCACCACCCGCCGTATCCCATATTCCCATAATAAATGATTTGTCATTGTGCTCTATTTTTTTAGATACATACGCAGCGCCTATAGTCTAAGGAAAGTGGAACTGAGTTAATTTGTTTTGACATGTACTTCTCTTAGGTGATTCTCTGCATAAATTTTAATAATTTTACTTTAGAATATTCCTTCAATGTCACAGACTAAGAAAAACAAGATAGCCTAGATTAGTACGATTTTTAGATTAAATTTAAAGGCAGAAATTTTCTATAATCTAATATACGTTATGAAAACAAATCTTTTGCGAAAGGAAATATTTAATTAATTACTCATGCATTTTACATTGATTTACTCTCCAAAAAATATGAAAATTTTTATCATATATCAATGCTTGTAGAAATCAAAAAATTATCTACTGTAAAACATATTTTTTATAGATAACTTACTCCTTGATAAAAGATCTCTTCAGTAAACGTTCCGTTTTTGTAACGTCTTACGAGACTTGTTTTTCCTACACTTGCGTCACCCAACAATACAACTTTCAAATCAACGCGGTTCATAATTTACAATGTTAGAGCTTTCAAAATCTAAAATGCATTATTTTGACATAATATTGCTATCGATGAGGTAGAGGAATAAACGAAGATCACAGACTTCTGAGCTGTACGAGGATAAACTGTCACAATACACAAACTGTCTTACCGATCTAGAAATTCAAGATTGATTTTAGCGTCCTCTTCTTTTACAGAACGGGCAGTCGAAGAATTAATTTTATGTCGTTCAAAGTTTTCTAGGTTTTTATTCTGAATTTTGCATTATTACTTAATTCAACTGTATCTTGATATGTCAATTTATTAATTTATTTCTAACATTGAGAAATTACTAATATTGTACTTCTATGCAATTTGAGTGTACCATTAGATATGTTGAATTTATCTCAATACAGGATCGGAAATGACTAATCACTTAAGAAAACAGAGGGAATGTGTAAATAAGATGACCAACATCAATTGCGCATAATATAATAAATAATATTGTAAAGACAGTTTTCAATGTTAAATAAATTTGTATTTTTTAAAATAATATTAGAAAAAGCAAAATAATTTAACTTCTTGTTTCCTTTTCTATCGTAATTTCATAATAATTTTATAATAAATGAGATGTTAATATTTTACTTTTAAAGCATGTCGGGAAAAATAATTACATTTCATTTGTCTCTGCACTTTTATATTTCTGTTATAATACTTTATAATGGTTTTAAATAAATATTTTCTTTTTCTTGGTTTGTTTCTCCCATAAATTCTGTATACATAGCTGAGTGTTCTTTTTTCCTAATTCAAATGAAATATCACAATAATGATAAAGCTAGAAACTAATTAATATCTTTTATAATAACAATAAAGTTTCTGTTCCATGGTTATTTAGCTTTACTTAGCTTTTCCTTGTGCAGCAACTGCAGCAATTGCAGCTTTTACAGTTTCCTCATCACCCAAGAACTTCATAGATACAACAGGCTTAAAGTTTTCATCTAATTCATAAATAAATGGAATACCAGTAGGCAAATTTAATCCCATGATTTGATCATTGCTCATTTCTGAAAGAAATTATTAGCATTATAATTCTTATAAATCTACTTTGTGTTTAATGAACATATAAGCTTACGATCTAAATGTTTCACAATGCCACGTAAACTGTTTCCATGAGCAGCAATGATAATTTTCTTTCCTTCCTTCAGTTGTGGAATAATAGTATTATTCCAATATGGTAATGTTCTTTCAATTGTCAACTTCAAGGACTCAAATTTAGGAAATTCTTCTGTCTTCAGTTCACCAGCATATCGTGCATCTTTTACTATTGTATCATAATATTTATGATCTGGTTCCATCGGTGGAGGGGGTACATCGAAGGATCTCCTCCAAATCTGTACTTGTTCTTCGCCATATTTTGCAGCCGTTTCTGCTTTATTCATTCCAGTTAGACCACCATAGTGACGCTCATTTAAACGCCATGTCTTCTGAACAGGAATGTTTTCTTGACCAGATTCTTTAAGAATCGATTTTAGAGTTTCTTGAGCTCTAGTCAGCACTGATGTATGAGCAACATCAAAAGTTAATCCTGCATCTTTGACTGCTTTACCAGCAGAAACTGCTTCACTTTTACCTGTTAGAGATATTCAATATTAAATATTGATCATAAAGTATACAGGTTAATGTGATCATACATCTGATGCACACACATTTATAAAAACATTTTTGATACACGTACGACGAGAAAAATGTTTACAATTATTTATTAATTTATGCATATAATACTACAATGTATTAATATATGATACGTGTAAAAATTCTTGAATATAACATTTTATGATTACTCCACAGCTTGACCTTTTGCCCTTGAAGATTCTCACAATTGTCTTTTCGAAATCCACACTTACCCTTGTCGGACAAATTAGCGTCGTACCATCCACAGAACAAATTTAATTTGTTCCATTCGCTCTCGCCATGGCGTACCATTACAATTGTATATTTCGACATTTTTCTGTTACAAGTGTTAATACTGCTTAAAGAAAAAGTACTATTCGGCAACGACAATCCGGGCTTGATGCTTTTGCACAACTGTTTCAGCCACAGGCCCCCACCACCTGTCATCGCGTTTGATACCGTGAAAGCATCATTTAAAATTTAGCACGTACGTATTCTATCGCTGATTGATTATATTACGCATAATACTTTTTTACAGGGCCATAGTTATTTTTCCTCTGAAAAACAGTTCCTTAACTGAAATATATTTATGAATGTTAGCACTTCCATTTTCTTATTTCCTTGTTTATTCAGGTATTACAATGTTTCGCGCCACTGTAGCACACGGATAGTTTTCATTGCATATTTGCTTCGCTGAAAAATAAAATATTTATAAATCAATCGAGTATTGTACAAATATTTGATAAATTATAATATAAATGATTGCTATCGGTTATATGCACGTAATCCTAAAACATTTAATGTAATAAGTATTTATATAATATCTTCTTATTTGCCTATAGATATAAGCAGGATAACCTATGTAAGTAGAAGTAACAAGTCCATTCAAGGAGTGTTTATAATTTGTTTGGAAATAATGTTATGTAAATAAATGGCATAAGTAAATACTTCTAGTGTTCATCAATAGGTCAGACTTATTCAAAAAAAGGTAGACTAGTATAATGGAATTATCAAACAATGAAAAAGTTGATAATCCTTTAGAGTTAAACAAGGATTTTTTGCAAGTTTCATGTAACTGGCAAATCAGTAATAATAGACAGTTCCATGATATTTTCACTACGGCGCCTTCTTCTCAAGAGCAAGAAATGTAATAAACATTTATGTTGAAAGTACATTAATATTTTTAACATTTTCTTATCTTAAAATTAACGAAACTTTATGTACAAATCGTTTGATGTTAAAAAAGAAATATATTTTTACAGTGATAATTTTGATACAATGGTCAAATTATCAACATGTGTATCTTTACAACCAACTCAGTCCTCTAATGAACCTTGTATGTTGGAAATAAAGTTAACAAATCACCAAAAAATATCCAGTATTGTTGTAGTTTCAGAAGCTTATGTTTTAGAGTTTTTTAAGCAATTTGGAGAGTATGAGACAACAGTATTCGCAGAACTTGTGGATGAGTTTGAAGACAATTCTGTTTATTTGGCAGAAAAAAAATTCATTCCACCTACTTCTGAAGCTAGTATAAAGGTATATAGATTATAAGCAATACACAATATAGAAAGGTTTTCAAAAATAAGTTATTAAATGTAAAATATTGGTTTTAGTTTACAAAGACAAAGAGTAAAAATTCAGTTATGTGGATATATGGTATAATGCTCTATTTAACAGAACCCATTAATGACTCCAAAAATGCAGATGTTTTCAATTTTGGAATCATAAAACATTTCTTAACTAAACTTTCTTTTAATGATGAAGAGAACAATGCTTCTATTGGTGTACAGTCATGTTACAAGAATATTTCGAACTCATCAAAAAATCTCAGTACAGAAGAAAATCATGAGAATAAAGTGGAACAATCTGACAATGAACATATTGAATCTAATATGGACATTAAAGCTTATATTGATAATAAGTTACATAATATGGAAACAAGAATGATCAAAAGGATCAATGAAATGGAACAAAAAACTAACGAGAAGCTAGATAATATTTTAAAACTATTAGAAACTCAATTTAGCACAAAGTGACACTCATTTTGTATAATACAAATGTACAAACTACTCTTGTAAACAATCAAAACGTATATTTAATGTAATTCAATGTCTAAAGTAAAAAAACTAAAAAATTATCAGATCATAGTAATTCTTTTTATTATGATTTCTAAGTGTTTTCTTTTGAGTGCCTTCATGCTTATCAGTTTTTTTATGGTTACATGAACTTGTATATAAATTAAACGATTCGCTTGATAAGAACTTTAAAATTAAGAATGTCTTATAATTCATATATAATATACATTCCTTAATTTACATTATAACATTTCTTTAGTGCATACAAATATGTATAATGAATCAAAATTTCCACTACATTAATCTTAATACTTGTATGCAAAGATACATCAAATCACACTTAACAATACAAAATTACATGTTCGTGTAACAAAATAAAGTTTAAATGTAATTTTCTTTCAATCAGTATTACTATCTTGAGGAGGATCCCACTGATGAAGTTGTTTCCTCCATAGTCTCATCATACCATCCCATCCTCTTCTACTATATTTAATATACTTTGGAGGTGTCCTCGGATGTTCCCTCGTACGTTTCTCTCTAAAAGAAGCATATAATTAATACAGATAAATTTCTCACAATATTTTTTTAATAGTATTGACACTTATAAAATTCTTACTTAGGCACAGCCTGAATATATCTATCATATCCAATAGTATTTTTCCCATAATCTATTTCCTTTTGTCTACGTGTCAATACTTGTGGATCTGTTTCATATTCTACACGTTTTTTACTACTATCAGAAGAATTTGTGGTCGAACTGGAATCACTATACCGTCTACTTCGAAAAACTTTTGTATCTTCATTGTGTATATGGTTTTCTCTGGGTCTTTTGCGTAAACAATGTAAGTCTTCTGGTTTATTTTTTACATTATTTTCATACTTTATGTTAGTTAAATGATTTGAGAGATTCTTTTGGCGTTTTGTCCTCTCATTGATGTATTCATTCGAACTGTCAATTTTGTGTTTTTGACTATTAGTAACGTTAACCGTATCTTCAAACAATTGTGTTTTTAAAGAACTTTGAGCAATTGTGCTTTCTTTATTGGACTCTAACATTTTGCCAAGCTCATTTGAACTCATGCAAATAGCTTCGTTAAGCAATGCATCATCTTCATCTGTTAGTTCTACCCAAGATTTCTTTACAACTGTCTCCATGTTAATTGGATTGTGGAAAATATTATTTTCAGTACAAACTGCGAATAAAAAGTAAATTGGAATACAACATACGTAAATTTTCTTAAGTACTTATAATAAAACGAGAAGTAAACAATACTTTACCTAGTAGAAATAACCTAAGTTAAGAGAAGAACTTATGAATTAAAACATAACGAAAAATTGTTAGCCATTAGTTTTTATGGTACGTATAAAATATTATTAACGTATTCCTTTTTTCGGTATCTTTTAAATGATTGCACTTCCTTTAAAAGTTTGTACAAAACACTCGTAATGTTACAAGTGTTATAAATTCTATGCTGCGCGCCTTTTCCGACAGCCTGTTAATCCCATGATTCTTGAAATCACGTTCGTTAAGCTCGGCTTTCAAGAAATCTGCGGGAACTTTTTTGAGAAGTGAACTCAAACTCCCATGGACAAATGAGATACAAATAAAATACAGAATATTAATTGACATTTTAATCGTTAATGTAAAAAACATAAATATTTGTAAATATTTAAGTCTAAAATTTATAGTTTAGAAGTCACTATGAATTTGCGCTGCTTTTAATAGGGATGGTAATCGTCAATCTTCAATATTTAGGATTCTAGATTCAAAAAGAAATTATAATTAACGAGTATAAGTTCTTATTTATAATTGCAAAGCATTAATGATTAAACGTATTTTGAATTTTTTAGACAAATAAATTAATTTTACTCGCATTCATTGGATTCTACAGTTTGAATTTAGATTCTTCGTTTTTGCACCATATTTTATTCGTGTTAAAAACTTCATTTTTATCTTGGATCACGTAAAATATATATATATATAAGTACTGTTAACATAACAACTGTACAAGTCATTTTCTTTGTATCTAAATGAAATACTGTGCATTTAAATAAAACTATGCTGCTATCTTCTAATCGTTAAATTTGTAATTTTGTATGCACTGTTTTCAAACTCAATATATTTGAAGGGAACGTAAAACGTCTCTAAAATCTAGGAGTAAGTTTATTTTTTCTCATTCTTTTCTTTGGATTTTCAAATGGATTAATTCCTTAACAAATTATTTACGCTTTATAGATTAATAAATATGCGTTTGTTTCTTTTTGTAATTACAATTTTATCAACTGTTACACAGCTTCAAAGTTTTATTATGCATATAACTGTAATTATAAATTTTTTCAGGATTTTGGAATATACTTCTAGTGTAACAGATTTCACTTGAATCTGAACAAAATGCCACCGAAATTACCGAAGGTTATATTTTATTTTCTTCATTTTTATTAAATCGAGAATCAAGAAAAATTTTGTGTATTTCAATGTTAATGAGGAAGATATTTATATTCTGTATTATATTTCCAGGAAACATTGGTGTTGTTAATGAATATAGGAATAACATGTCCTGGGAAACAAAATAATCTGGCATTGTTTGAGAAAACAAAATACATTGCTACGAGAATTATTAATAAAAAGGTATAGAATTAGCACAAATTAAGTTGGGAAAGTAAAAATAATAAGGATTATTATTTTTATTAAAAAATATAGCTATTTCTCCAACATTATAGATTTTTCTGCGACCAGAAGATGAAGTTGCAGTCATAGTAATGGGTTCTCCTGTTACAAAAAATAACTTAAATATAGAACACGTGGAAGAGTATATAAATTTTCAAGTACCAAATTGGAACTCAATAGAAAAAATTATGCAGCTGCAGGCTACAAAACATTGTACCAATTGGGTGGAAGCACTTTTTGCTACAATAAAATATGTACAGGACAATGCGTAAGCTTCAAAAAATATTTTGTTTCATCACATGTGTTACATTTGATTGTTATTTATGCTTTATTCCAGTGTTGATGCTTGTTTGAGAAAAGTAATTATTATGTCTGATTTCAATGAAGAATTAGACATTATTTCTCAATTTGAAGTACATGAAATTGCAAAGGAATTGCATTCTCACGGGATTGAGTTGCTCACAATGTATAAAAAATATGAATCATAATTCATGTAGATCATGCCATGTATAATATCATTTTGTATTTTTATTTTTTAGAGGAGAGAAGTCTTTACATGATGAGCCAGAAAGTTCTCTTAAAGTTAGTGAAAAGTTCCTTAAGGACTTACATAAGCAGGTAAATTCTACCATAGTACCTACTTTCAAAATACATTTTGAAAAGAGACATTATTAAATTAATCAGTATTAAACAGATTAAAGGTAAACACATAACATTTGACAATGCTGTGTCAGATATGAAATTTTATAGCGATATACCAGAGAAAGGAATGCCTTGGTATGTTACCATGGAATTAATTGACATACAAATACCAGTTGTTCGTTATATTAAAGTAAGAATAAATTTCAAGTTTAATGAATTCATATGCACAATATCATATAATTATTTTAATAACATGGTGTAACATGTAACAGGCAACTGAAACTAAAAAATCTCTGTCATGGGTAACAGCCACGGAGGACAAGGAAGTTACACCAGTGGTAGAGCACTTGGATAGGCAGAGAGTTAACTATGATAAGGACGAAATTATAGCAGGATATCAATACGGGGAAGAAGTTATTCCAATTGAAAGTATATCGTTTAATTTTTTTTTATCATTAATTTACACACAGGCACGCACGCACGTGTACTTATTATATATTAATAATATAATATAATAGTAATTACATACATAAGTATTCTATATAAACGCAGAAAAGCTAGAAGATTCTCTGAGTTACAAATCTGGACCAAAAAGCTACAAGATTCATAGCTTTACAAGCGGAAATAACGTCGATTTAGAATATTGGCACGGTGATACAGCCATTATATTACCTTCGAGTCGAAATGAAGTATGGTTTCATCATTTCAGATCTAATTGAAAACCCAGGGGAAATTTAATAATATACACGTACGTCGTTAATTTTTCAGAATGCGGTCAGGCCGTTTTACAGTTTAGTCCAAGCGATGCACAATTTGAAGTTAGTCGCCATTGTAAGAAAAGTTTATAGCAACGACAGTGCACCAGCAATCGTAGGATTATTTCCCTGTATCAATGTTCCTGGTGAACCATGGGTATCGTCAAAATATTTTCTTAAATTACTTTCTTAAATGTGTGCGCATAAAACATAATCAAGCATATTCTTTACATTCGATTACAGTGTCTGGTAGAAATATCTTTACCATTTGCAGAAGACAGAAGAGTGATGGAGGTAAAATCCCTTAAGCATGTTGCAAAAGAGTTGACGAGTGAACAACACGAAGCCATAGATAATCTATTGGATTCTTTGTTATTGCCTGATCCAGAGTAAGCACGAATAGAGTTATTAAGCATGACAATATACACATTTTATGTATTCTTACGTAGAGATAGCCAAGAAATAGATGGACGTCAGCATTTTAAAGAGGGTTGTGTGCCTGACCCCGCGATACAGCACACATGGCACATGCTATCCCATCGAGCGCTTCATCCGGGTGAACCGTTGCCACCCATGGAAGATTATCTAAAAGATATTTTCGAAGTTCCATCGATAAAAGAAAGTAGCGAGCGTCATCTCCAAAGGATAGCAGAATTATTCCGATTGGAAAGCATAGATCCCAAGAAGGAAAAGTATGAAATTATAATAAGACTGTTTACGTATTAACACGATTACATGTATTTACATAAGTAAGCAGTAAAAATATTTTTGATACAGCGGTGAATCCACGACGACAGGTGATATCCAGAATGTCGATAAAGAGTCTGCTAAAGCAGAAGATAAATTCGATGATGATATGGAAATAGAAATGCCTATGGACCCCGTAGATGTTGATCTGGACGAATTGGTAATATGACAAATAAGAGTAAATTTTTCTATAGATACTTGATTATCTGATATTACTATTTCAGGCGGCCAATTTTTAATGAACATTTACAACTACTTTACCAACGTAGTTGCACGAAGAGGTTTTATGTAAAATGGTACCTTACATTCCTTTTAAGAAACGAGTAATATATTTTTATATCCATTTGCAAGGTATTATGCTAAGAAACATGTACAGAAGAGATGACAAAATAAAAATATAATAACAGAAGAAAAGCGATCCTTGAGGTGATTCCCACAAGTTGATGACACTCTGCGGACTTAATATGGAAAGGACGAAGTGTCTACCCACGATTCCACCCACTCCATTCGTCATCACCGTCCAAAATTCCTGTGTATCCAGAATACCGAGGGAAACACGTTTAGAACGTTTCTTAAAAATTCTTATAAGACATAAAAACTTAATTCACATGGCCTAGAACAATTGATCACAATAACAATTTCTATTTATTTAATAGAATTCACAAAAATTCTCGGTTGCTCGAATCCTATAGAAAAAACATTGAAAAAAAAAACAAAAAATCATCACAGCCTTTTTGCAATATTTTCATACATTGTTCTACGAATCCAGCGAAGTGCAGAGGTAACGACTGACTCTCTTGATTGCCGATACTGTTAGTCTACTGCTTTTGGTGCATCCTGTAGAATATAACGGCACTCACTTTCAAGACCTCCGAGGTGCGGGATCCGCCGCAATCTCAGTCGACGAAGAGACGCCGTCTCGTGTGGATCAACAGGTGTTCATACCCGTGCGACCAGCGTTCACCAGCATGGGTAAGTTTTCCGCGAAAGTTGAACGAGCGAACTAAAATGCACGGATCCCTCATTCGTCGCCGGGCAGCGTATCGCGCGGTATGGATTCGAGCCGGCCATCGAAAGTGAAATCCACAACATTAATATTTTGCGTCTCCGTTTAGGTATGCGGGATGAGACACGCTGCGGGCTGAACGTTTGGTCTTAACCGCTGACGCTTTTCTACTGACATAACAATAGCACAGAACGCTCTTAGCGATTCCGGGTCGACGTGTCCGATATTAAAAAGAATTGATCCGTTCGGCGGGATTTCTCAATGATTCTACGTCGCTTTGTATCACGCTGGGAGTAGAATGGAATTGGTAATCCTTTTAACGCTACGGAACACTAACAAGAGGAATGGTAAACTAAATAATTGGTGTATCAGTTGAACGACGCGAAATTGGTTTAGCTGTTATTGCCTCTGATTCTGTGATTACTTCCGAGTTTGACGCTTCGAGAAGGCGGCTCCGTGTTTCGAATTACAAAAACGAAACTCGCGGATCGTTTTGCAATTTCGTTCGGACTCGACGGCGATCCGATGGCAGCTTCTGTTTCGCTGTTTAGGGAACGATGCCTTAAATGTCAGGAAAATGTTAGGGGAGAAATGTCACGTTGCGATATGCTCGTTGCATCCGCGAATCGCGTTGTTGGCTCGGCTCGGTTAGGATCGGGGAACGCGAGGCACGCGTGAAATTCAAAATTTGGAGAAAACCCGTGAGTCAGCGATTGCTTTCGCGATACTCCTGCTTTCACGCCTCGTTAAACGTTGACCTAGAAGAAAATGCAAGAGCATCTTGATGAAGGAAGAAGAAACTGTGCTTTGCATTAACATTGCCCATAGGTTGCTCGTTCTCATGAATTATTGATGAAGCATGCAAATGTGTTTTAGCTATTCGACCTATCTCCGAAAGAAATTTCTGGTTCGAGGGAGAAATAAGATTGCATTTTTACGACGGTTTAAAATTCCACTTGAATACAATTTATTTAATTGCATCCGATTAACGCGCGAATCGGAGTGACGTTCGTCGCGAACCTAAGTTCTTTTTTAATCGCAAGCTTTGTTTCGATCCGCGAAGCGTACACCGCTGTCAATGAAACGACCGGCGTTTATGCAAATGTCGTGTACGGTGAACTGAAATGTCAGAAGGGTATCAGTTCAGCATTATCTGTATAATACTTGAAACAGGAGCAGCCCGATCAAACGCACCACGCGGAACCGCGGCGAGCCCGTTGTCCTTGCAAAAGTCGTAGTGGAGCGGTGCTTGGGAGCGATGCTAGATCAGACGGATAAAAATAATGTCTGTCTGACTGTATCCTCCCACTCGCTGCTAGATAAAATCGAAGATCAGTTCAAGGGAACCGATCCTGCGGCTGTTTCTCAGCTCGTTTCCATTCGTTCGTTGATTATTAATCCGTTCTTGGCCTGCTTGCGTCGCTTCCAATCAAACTTTCGGAATTCAAAATTCGTGACAACAGAACTGACGTAAATCGATCGAACGAACTTTCGCGCGTTCACTGCCACGAAAAAGCTTTTTGCGTGTCACTTTCTATAGCAGATACAAAGCAAGAATTATTCTTTGATATAAACTAGTTATTTACGTTAGGGAAAATTTCTATTCGAAATCAATTATCTCGAGTGATAATCACTTTCTTGCCATTTGAAAGCTCCAGCAGTGACCGTGGCAGTCAAACGATCTTAACACTACAACTACCGAACGTCAAATTGACTTTTCGTAATTGCTCCATAGAAACTCCGTCAGTACCATTGAAATTTCTGATCTACAATTCAGCTTCGCGAAATCAATGTCTACTTGACTTTTCGTAATTGTTCCATAGAAACTCCGTCGGTACCATTGAAATTTCTGATCTGCAATTCAGTTTCGCGAAGTCAAGTCATTTCTCCGAGGATTATGTTATCTTCGTAACGATTGTAAAAAGGAATCAGAATCATTTCGACCTCTCCGGTAGTTCCAGTGTCAGACGATTCTAAAAAGGAGAAAATCAGTTTGAACGTATTTCTGAAAATATGTGTCTCTGTGTCGATTGAACCTGACGCGCTGATCGCAGGTAACAAAAAAAGGATCGTTACACAATCCGCCAGTGTAACTGCCGTCCGTTACGGTTTCTTTAATTTTATTGACGGATTCATTGCTCTCGCGAACTTCGATTAACTTAGTGGCTATCAGTATGACACAGTAATAATGACTCGGCGGAAAAGGGATTGCCTGTCGTTTGATCGGCATTGACTCCCTTTCCAGACGGCCCAGTTTTCGCGGTTCGCGTTCGTTTAACGACCGAGAGTGTATTACACGCGAGGGGCTCGTTGCGTAATCCACCGACGTCACGAATGAAACGTGTTTTCCTTTTTGCTCCCTTTTTTCCTACGTATGAAACACTTTTACCCGGCTGACACCGATTTATCGTTCTGCTTTCAGGGACCGCGTACGTCTGCTGTATGGTGGCCATGCTCGCCGTAAGTCCCCGCAAATCAGCCGTGAACTTCCTACTTTTCACGCTCCCGGAAGACGCACGTGCGCGCATTGAAATCACCGAGCAGGAGAAATCTGTCCCGACTCGGCGGCGAACAAGCGGCGATCGGAATTCTTTCGCTCTCTTGGCCACCCGATTTTTTTTCTGTTCGTCCCGGGGACAGACTGAAAATCGCGTTTCCTGCGGAAAACACGCGAACCGGCGGTCGCCGTTGGAATACGAATCCTTTCACGAATGAAAAGTTGAGTTAACGACGCATGAATCATCGAGAGTCGCGCGTAACACTCGCCACTTCTGCCCGTTTACGCAGGATTTATCGTATCCTTGTTTACAGAGGAAAATTATTTGCACCTTGTGTCGTGTTCTCTGCGTTTCTCTATCGATTCTTCATTCGTGATCGGAGGTAATTCGATCGATGGGTTTACCGCGTGCTTTTCCTTGATCAGAGCCACCACTTTCAGAGGTTGAAAACTGTTGTGGAGAACCGAAATGGAGTTAGAACTTTTATTAGATACATTCAAAATTGTCAAAATTCAATTATCAACTTGTATACATAATTTATTTATATCGGTTTCGGTTTTTTGGAACGATACAGAGCCGAAACCGATATAGATAAACCATGTATACAAGTTGATGATAATTGAATTTTTACGATTCCGGAGAACCGGAACCGAAACTGATATAGCTCAGAACCGGTACACCTAATAATCAGATAATTAACCATTTACACTCGAAAGTTTTTCTCTGGAGATTTCTCACTGGAACATTTTCTCACGAGATATAGACATTGTTTGAAACTAATTCAATGATAATTCACAGATAAATTAAGCAACTATTTTATTTATAGAGCAAAATGCATGAAACGGAAGTAATCAAGTATTGAATCATTTGATTGAATTGCATTATCGCACGTTCGTCTAGCTGAATGCGTTAGGCAGCACTATTTAGAATATAGAAACGTGTTCGAATGATCATCGTTTGAGTGCATTCAAAGTTTCATTCAACATAGTAAACATTCAAATCAAGCGTTGACCGAGAGTCGCCTCTCGAGTGCAAAGGGTTAAAAAGAAATAATATTTTAAATAGTTCCTCCGAAAGAACATTCGGAAATCAATTAACAGATAATCAAGGAAACCCAAGTATTAGTTCTCTACAGTAGAAGTCGACATGTGAAACGTTAATTATAGTAATGATTCTAGATACATCTGTCGAATTATTTGGTTCCTTTATATTAAATCTACCTGTGACTTTATTTCGGTTCACCACAACCGTGCCAGTCAGAGCCGATGCATAACAGTTTCGAACAGTTCCCATCGGGACGGTTTCAATCCGTGGTTTCTTTCATCAGATGCTCTTCGTCGCGACGACGGAGGCCGGCGACATGATGCGTAAGAGCATCGTTTTCGACAAGAACACGCCAGACGTGTTCTACTGTCCGCAACAGAAGCCGACGGGCTTCAAGAAGATGATCGTTAACGCGAAACCGTTGTCCAAACTTTGCCAGTTCGAGGGCAAACCGATACCCGTCGATTATAAGAGCGACTGCTACAACGACGTGGACGAGACCGAGTACGCTTGCAAAGAAAAATACAGAATCATGGTGAGTCACCGATGAAGTCATTGGGCCCCGAACGAACGAACGAACGAACGAAATTCCACGCCGAATACGGCATCGACACGGGGTACCTAACGGGTTTAGACCGAACCAGAAGAACCTGTGGGAGGATAGATAGATCATAGATTACCTCCTGATAAGATTACCGAAGGGAGCTTCTGCGCTTCAGCATCATTTCACGCGTTTCCCGTTAACGCGATTAAACATTCATGAGTCGGGGGTCCACTTGGAATTTCCGTCGATACGAATGTTACGAACAGCGTGTTTTCGATGCGATATATCTGGAAAATATTGTTCGGTTCCAAGTGAGCCTCGCGAGTACGCTCGACGAGCATGAGGGGTCCACTTGGAATTTCCAGTCGATAGAAACGTTATAAATAGCGTGCTTTCGATGCGATATATTTGGAGAATATTGTTCAGTTCCAAGTGAGCCTCGCGAGAACACTCGATAAGAATAAGCTGAGCGAAAGTGAACTTTGCCCAAGATGCACGCATCATCCGATCATCGTAACGCTGTGTTCATCACGTGTAACGAATTGGTGTCGGTTTGTTTTTTCTTGCAGAAGCGATTCAGAAACGTGGAAGGGGATGAGAAAACTGCGGACGACTTCGTCAAGAAATAGATGAGAATCGGTGCTGCACGGCCGAACTACGTTTGCAATTTTGCAACGCGCCATTAAGCCCTACGCTAATGCTCAAGCTTGAATCCTGCAGTCCCATAATTATAATGCACTTTACTTTTAAATCGAGACCGCCATCCCTTTCGATGCCACTTCGGCTGGACGGTCGGATACCTTTGGAAGAGTTTCTGATTATTGAATACGTAGTTAGCGCAAAGTGTTCCGTTTAGCGTTCCAATAGTTTTCTTTTCGTTTTCATTCATTGAACAGGATTTGAAATAGTTCTCGTCGAGTCAACTTGGAAATTTGTATTTTTATTATTGAGAGATTCAGAGCATACCGAGGATCAAGTGCTAAGGTGCTTTGTAGTTTCCAGGCTTAATGGATGATTTGTATTTTTGACAGTAACATTAATAAAACTAACCATATTGGAGTTGGGTAGATTAATCAGTAATCCCCCCAGAAATGGCTTCAAGAAGCTGCTTTCACCGAGCCAGAAACCAATTATGCAAACCTCTGACATTCTGACATTTTGCACACTAACTTTGCATTATACAAATAAGTGAATCCCAGTTGATTGTTTTCTGAGCTTCAGTTGGTTACTCGAGAAGTTAAGAATAAGTTGTAACTGTAATAAAGTTCTACGATTATTCCATTTACTTATTCAAATGCACTCGTTGTTTGTTCGACCTGATTTTTTAACGCTAAATAAACAACTCGAAAACGAAGGGAGAGAATGCAAAAGTAAGACAAACATAGTATTAGTCTGTTTACGACCTTCGATTATGAACTGCACCTGTCGACTGCATCAAAAATATGCTTATTGCGGTAGGTAGTATTTTACATAATGTTTGAGCAGTAAAGAATCTATGATAGTTCTGTATATCTTTCCAACGTTTCTCGCTTTTATTTTTGTTCATTTTGAAGTACACGATGATTTCAAAACTGTGTTTTTGTTTTAGATGAGGCTGCATCCACCAGGAAGTGACACGCCATATAATGGGGCACGCCTGTCGAGATTTTTATCTTTTGACAAAAATATACAGAAAGACAAAAATCAAATTTAAAGTCTAAATCGTTCAGGAAAATTCTTCATAAATATTTCTTGCAGATGTTTTCTGAATTGATTTCACGGAGTTACACGAATTCGTAGATTAAATTCTTCATTCGTTGCAAGCTTTTATTGTAATTAATCTGCCAGTTAAATGATATCAACTTTTATTGCATTCTAAACACTTCCAATTGGTAACGATCGTGGTAATGTCACTTGACGCGCTGTTAATATTCTTGTAAATAATTTTAGTTCCTTGCTAATGCTCTAAAAGTCTGATGTTGGTCATATATATATATATATATATTTTCTTCTCTTGTAATTTACATTTAAAAGGGTATACTCATTTTTAGTAAAATATTTAACGTTCCTATTCATTATGAAATGTATAAAGGTATTTGAACATATGTTTTGTAATATATTTGTAACATAAGCATAAGGCATTGTAAAGAAATAAAGTAATATATGTGAATAAATAAATTGCGTATATAATATGTACAATATATTAAAGAATTTTATATATATATACACATAATCTGTTCCAGACAATATTTTCGTAGTTAATTTCATTTTTTGATGGTACAAAGATTTTTTATAAATTTACGTTGTATTTAATGTAGTGTAGGAAGTATTCATCTACACCTTATGAGAACTCATACAGTTAAATACAGAATAAAATCAACAATTTACATTAACAACGGAATCATCAAATAATAAATTATATATAAAAATTATAATTAATAATAATTTAACTTTGACAATTAATGAAAATAGTTAATTGTATATTTATATCATTGTCTTTAATGATGTGTGTATGGAAGTTAACATTATTAAGATAAATTTAAAAGTATAATATTCCACATATTTCACAACTTTTAATGAGCCATATTACAAAATTTTTAAGTAGTAAAATGTATAGTGCATTTCGATAATGGTTTTAATATTAAATTTTATAATATTTTCAGGTTCTTAGATCACAAGCATTAATTTTACACATTATTCTATGTGAATAACTTATTTACATTACTATCACTGGTCTAAGAAATGCATACTAATTTAATATTAATACTTGCGATGTCATTCGAAGCTGGACAACACATAAATTAACATTTACCATGTACTCTACGAAGAGTACAAAGAAAGCCACTGTTACTGTTAACACAAGTTCTCTTTTGTACAATAAAAATTCAATTTATTAATTTATAGACGACCGATGGACAAGCAAACGCTTGTCATATCATTTGAAATTATGTAAAATAAGATACTTGTATCTTAGAAAATGATGTTCACGAATTACAAGTATATCACATTTGCTCTTACACTGAAAGTAATCGGTGCTCCATTAGAATTTCCATTACATTCGTACAGCTTAGCGTACCAATATTGCTTTGACTTGATATAACAAAAATATATAAAAATTGATATAGGCATCACAGGTCTCAGGGTATCACTATAATCATTTTATAACTTTTCAAGTGCAAACGGAAACGTTTCGTACATCTTCAGACACGATTTAATAAAATCAAATGTGTGCTATATACTCTTGAAGTACATAAGGTAGTAGACATTTACTTCCAATGATATCTTCAAATCATAAAAGGATAATTTGAAATAATCACGGTACGTGTTCGTCCAACAGTGCGGTAATCATCAAAATGTAATAAAAGATATTTCAATAACATCTTGTACTTGAACGTTCTGTACGAACCGAGACACCATGCGTAAGAGGGCACATGGGCATTACATTCTGTTATAAAACAGTAGGAACATCGGCTTTAAAGGTGTATTCGTAAGTGGGAAAGAGATCGCGCCGTATCAATTTTATCCACTTCATTTAACAAAGTACTGGCATTGTCGTTCGTGAGAATTCTTTTCTTTAATCGCGTTCTCGTTTCGATTAAATTGAATCGTGCTTTACAAAATCAGTTTTCCGCCGTTCGAAGCTCTTATCTGCGCCACTTGTTCAGGGGTCAGTATGAGCTTGCTTCCGTTGGGCAGTGCTAAGGCATAATGGCTTCCAGTTTCGTTGACAACCACCACCAATTGAGTGTTTGTATTCTGAACTGGTTGCGCGGGTTTCACAGGCGTTATCGAGATGCCTCCTTGGCTCATACGCTGCATTATTTGCGGAGAAATGGCACTCTTTGGCTTAGTTACTGCGACTTCTGAGGTAACGGTAGACTTCTTCTGAATCGGAGTTTTACGCAATGTCGCCTTTGTCCTCGTTGTTTCAGCCTCAGTACCCGTTTTCTCGGTGATGATCATTTCAATCTCATCGTCGCTATCACTAAGGACAATTAAAGAAGTAGTCTTCTGGCCGATGCTCTCTGCAGGAGCAATGGGTTTTCTTAATTTCTGTGCCTTAATTGGCGTATCGCGTTGTTGCTGCTGCTGTTGTTGTTGTTGTTGTTGTTGTTGCTGTTGTTGCTGCTGCTGCTGCTGTTGTTGCTGTTGTTGTTGAACGATCTTTCTTCTAGAGTAACCGCCCCGCGGTAAATTCCCTCTGATAGGCATGCTACTTCTGATAACCGCGCCATTGGGATGTGGATATGCTTGTCTCGACCCTTGATATCTAATATGGGGTGATCTAGTCGGTAGAGATTGATTAGGGGGCATCGCGTTTGTAGGATTTTGAGGTATTCCTTGATTTAAAAGCTGAGGATCACTTGTTAAATACCCACGCTGTGGTTGCGTTGCTGTTACCATGTATGGCACGTAACCTGGCTGAGTTACAAATTGCTGGGGTGCCAACATTTGAGGCCCTTGAGGCTGAAACGTTTGGGCAGGAACAAAACCGGGTTGCGGATGTTGAATTATGTAATTCTGACCACCCTGCATGTAATAGCCTTGTGGTATAGGTGGTACGATGTTAGACACTATAGGGCTACCAGGCTGCATTATAGCACTTGGCGGTACCATGCTTGACGGCATTACATAATAGTTCATAGGGTTAGGGTCAGCTTTGACCATCACGTAATTTGGATTGAGATTCGCGGCATAACTATTAGCAGAATGGTTTGGCGGGTAATCATAGATTGGGCCCTCATCTTTGATGTCCAACTCCGAATGCACGCTTTCAATATTCTCAACTTTGCAGACTGGTTCCGTGGAAGGCACTGTTTCTTTAGGATCATTCTCCACCATATCCTCAGCATTCTCTGTGGAACTGTTCGCAGCAAAAGGACACGGCTCTTCTAGCTTCTTTGGTTTGGATACCTGAATTTCTTTAACTTTAGGTTGATCCTTGTCGGTAGGTGAGTTTGAGGAAGTAGCCACTGTCGACTCCGCAGCTTCCTGTAGCTCGTTGACTTTGATACTCTGTAACTTCTGCTGGAATGACTTTAATCTCCGATTGGCAGCTGTAAAAAGATAAGTGATACTTCTGTTATTTAGGTTGAATCATCAAGTTTATTTAAGGGGCATGTCTTTAAGCCATTGTGTCTCCGGTTTAATTGTATTTAGTTACTCACATGGACGTTTATTTTTCCTTTTGCGAGAGCTCGGTAGTATCCAATCTTGGTCTGAGTCCTCCTCGTTGTTCCTGTCGTCAGGCTGTTTGATTTTCGGAGCAAAGTATGCAGTGGGTGCACCGACCTGTGCGCTGGGAGCTGCGTAAACTGCCTCAACATCGGCCCATTCATCCAGCTCCTTCTCCTCGATCTCATCGTCTGAGTAGAGCTGTTCTGTGTATGAGGAGATGCCGCGGGCCCGCAACACTCTTCGATTTTGTTGTTCTGAGTTGATAGGTTAAGAAGACAGCACAGGGAATTAGAGCAATAACGCTTAACAGTACTCTGAGATCTGAAATTGTAAATTTTAAATTGTCATTCCAGTGATCTATACCTTCTTCTTCAGTGGGATCTTCTTTTTCTTCTCCAGTTGCTGTACTCCCTTGATTATTGTCGTCGCCATTTTCGAATTCACATCTTTGCGCTTCGTTTTCAGAGCTTTTGTCCTGTCGTTCTTTGTCTTCCTGTTGGTCGGTTTTACTGGGTTCTGCGGAGTTGGCGCGCTCTTCTTGGTAGTCCTTGTTTGCAGTAGAAGCGACGTTGGAACCAGTTGGGGATAAGGTAGACTGCGGTAACGTTTGTAATGTTGCTTCTCCGGGTGTTGGCAACGGACAGCCCTGCGATCCAAGAACCCACCAATTAGAGCCGAGACCCTCCCCAGATGAGTCCTGATCCTCCACACTGCTACAACACACAGCAGTATGTCTGCCATACACGCTCGACAAAGAAATGAATGTTACTGAAAAAATGTGGTTTAGTTCCACTGTGTTTGTCAGAAACAGATTGTAGCAATTTTAAGAGGTTTCAGGTAGGGTGAACGTTAATTCGGGAATGTGTGATATATATAAGTGATGCTGTTAGCAGAGATACTATTAATATGTTTGTAGCAACAATCGTGTATATTATTAGTTCGAAATCCATTATTCCCAAATTAAATTTGTTGTAATGGAACAATATGGTAAACTGAATTATATGGTTCTGATATTAGTATGTCATGCGCTTTTGTACAAATAATTATGAATGTACCCTTCGTTAAAGTTCGTCCATTCTTTGTGGAGTTTGCTTCTAGCCTTCTTCATTGAATCGTGCAAAGCTGATTCCATTTCCTCCAGAGAGGAAAGCAATTCTGTCATCTTTTTAACGAGCTTCGCTTCAGAAGCATGCACAGACTTGTTCTAGAAAAATTTCGGTAATATACAACAATTATTGTAATAGACGTAGGAATTACAGACAATGATTATTAAATACATACATCACCAGGGTTTTGAGCGTTAGGTTTCCCCGAAAACGTAGATATGAGGTCTCTGAACGAGCTCACACTGTCAGCTATCAGTTGAAAATTTGAAACGCTAAGTTCTGATAACATCTCATTGAAATTCTCCGTTTCCTGTTTCCAAACATCCGTGTTTACATTTTTTGCATTTCTAAGATTGTATCCAACCTCACTTTCCTTGTCCATAGGAAAGTTCTCCTCCATTGCTTCTTTCTGCAATCTGCTTCTCAATTCGCTCAAAGAGAAATCCGTATCTTCATCTGATTCTGTATTATCATCCTCGAGTTTACTAAGTTTCACCGATAACTTTGACGTCTTACTCTCGCGATCCAAACTATTTAGTTTCTGTTCTTCTATAAGCTGCCCATTTTGCTTGATAATCTCTTTCGTATCGTTCTCCGTTACAAAACTTCTGTGATCCTCGTGTGCCATGCTTAGATTGCTCTTGGTATCGTTCAATTTCTCATCGTCAGATTTCAATGTGGTCGATATTTGAAAACTGTTGGAACTATTGTCCTCCATCTTCAAACATTTCGCGTTGATCATTTCATTTAACTTCTCATCGTCCGTCTTCGATACACTGGTTAAATTATCCACGGATTCGCATTTGTCTACGAGCTCATTAATAGTTTCTAAATATTGCCTCGTCGAGTTTATCTCTAAATTTCCTTGGGAAGACGCAGACCCGTCAGGCATGTCCACTTTGCTTTCGATTACATCAGACTTCAAATCACTGAACATATTACTAATAATTTCTATGTTACAATTATCCTTACTACTACTTGAGAATCCTTTGAACATTTTTTGAGGTGACTTCTCGTCGGAAACGGTCCCAACGGAACTACTCGTATCGTAACCACTCGTTGACTTTACATTTTTACAGTGCGTTCTATCGGACTCCACGCTCATTTCCGAACACTTCGACAAACTTCTCGACCTTTTCCCATTTATTATGTCTAAATTAATGTTATTATTATTACTATTACTATTGTTATTATTACTACAGGTGCTTGTACTACTCAGATTTGTGTCCTCGTTTATCAAAGAGTCTGCCGTACTATCACTAATACACTTGCAATCGTTTAGATTCTTCTCGTCGCACTTGTTTACCTTCTTCCTAGCTTTAGGAGGTAAACCGTTACTCCACCGTTTCCGTTTTCTCTGTTTAACTTTTTTCCACGTTGACTCCGCCTGTTTCGTTGGTTTGCTGTCTGGATGTGGTTTCGCTTCTGCCTTGACAGGCTGAAAAAAGCAATCGTATAAGTATGGAAGTATAAAACACAGTAATGGGATCATGTAAATTATTTGTAACGACTAATACTTTAATTGTGGACAAGATTTTATTATCCAAACAATGCCTGTAAACTCTCAGATCTGTTTTAAGGAACTGCGGAAAATAAATATATTTTGCTCCGTAACGATCAGTGCCTAGAAATGTTTCAAACTGATCCTTCCACGGTTGTTTAGCTATTTCTTCTTGCACAGTTTTCCGAGTATGCTGAAACAACGTAATTCCATGAAGTCGAAAAGACTTTCACTTTTAACAGACGATACGAACAATCTCTATCATACCATGACCGTATCACAGACTGTTTTCAAAAGCCAGACTTTCTGTCTGAAACTCAACTCTTCGAAGTCCTTGCCGTTCAATAGAGGAGCATCTGGGAAAACATTCCAGAACTCTGGTTCAACGCCGATGGTTTCTAGAACCTAAAAATCTTTGATCACATTTTTTATCATTGTCATGCACGGTCTATGCATAAAGGTATTTTATTCGGCGAGAAAGTTTTTGATTCGCAGTTGATGCAATAGAATTCACAGATGAGATTTTACAGTGTTAATTGTTCAACCGGTCAAGTGACTACCTTCACCGCATCCCTGTGTTTCCCTTCGTACACTTTGAACCAAGTTTTCATTTTGTAGGCTAGAATGTTTGTCCAGAACTCGTATGGCATGGGCGGTATTTTCCTCAACTTCGCTTTGGTAACAGGGGAGCTGAAATTAGATCAAATGCAATCTTTAAAATCGTGATAGCCACTATCGACTTTAATCAAATATAACTGCTTTTTATTTTACAAACTTAAACATTCTATGTATTCTTTTACCTTAGCAGAGAAGTCATAATGTTCGCCAACTGTTTCGAAGCTCTCGGTATTAACAACATCCGTTCCATTTCATACATAGACAAATGAGGTATGTTCAAAGCTTCCCTTGCTAAGTGAAGAAAATGAAATATCTGTGGGATCTAAAACACAAACACCATACAAATAATTATATAAAAATCTTACAGGATTTTCTGTACGAAAAATTTACAATGCAACAAACAGTGCACATTAATTAATAACAAATATATTTACCTCCCACATAGATTCCATTTCATATTTCAACCTGCCAGGGAAAATATTCTCTTGCTTCCAGTTGATCATCAGCTGCTTCTCCCTTTCCAGCTTTCGTTTCTTATTTTTCTTCATCATTTTCTGCAAAGAAAACTCGTGTGAGTAAAAGTTTCTTATTCCCATACTTCCTCATATTCATTTTTTCTTTCATTCTTTTTTCATTTAACGAACTACACAGTCGAAGTCCTTCAAGAATATTTCCAAGAACAGATCAATGTAATTCAAACACGTGAATCTATCATCAATTAGATAGAATCGAGTGCAGTTTGAAAAATTGTTTTCCTTCGCGGTGTGCAATCATTGTCATCTCTTGTGCCGCTATTAACATAAAACAAACAATAATGACCTAGTGAAGTCGCGCCGTTGTTAACGCAGCGTTCAAGTCACCGAGCCTTCCGCGGCCAGCTCAAACATACAAATTGCTTCCAATTTAACAATTACATCGCATTTTATTAATTTCTCCGTCGTTCCCGGTGTTTGTCTTTTCTAATATTAATCCCCAAGGTCGAACGAATGCTTAGAGGCACGGTGAAACGCGTGCAAAGGTGAACGTTAATCGCCGAATACATTTCTGATTCCTTAAAAGTCATGGCGTCGAGACCAAATAAACAACTCTTCGCTAAATAATTAATCAAAGGTATTCTGTGGCGTAACAGTTACATTCACACAAAATTACAGTCCAACGTAATTCTTTAAAGTCGAAATTTTCTACGCTTCTCGTACAGCATTCAGCATTGTGGACGCATCGAACATCGATAAGAGACACTTGTTTGCCATGCAACGGTGTTAAAGATTGAACAATTCGACGCGGTCACGACACGTTTTCGCGGAACAGTCACGCGTAATAGTTAACATTCTAATTGTCGTGTTTGCCGACTGATCGTCGATGCACTTGGAAGCACCTTTATCGCCGTCGTGTATCGCTAAAGCCAAGCTGTACATGGAATTGACAATTTAAACGGTGTGTACGCTGCTCGGTCGACCTTGCACCTTTCCTTCATCGCATGGGATCTATTAACGAGTCAAGGTCACCTGGAAGCATCTCCGTTATCAATTTTCAGCGACGCCCACGATCCACCCTCTCCGTTTCGCTGAACCGTTCACGCTAAAGGACACTTCGTTTTCCATTGTTCCCGATAGCATATCTTGTTAATACGTTCACGACCGTTGACGCGAATTCGCGTCCTCGAGTATACTCTCAAAATGTTTGATTCTGCTCTTTCCCATTTGCAGCTGCTTCAAGCAGCTCCTCGTTTCGAAACATTTCAATCGTCGTTTCATCGCTAGAAATTTGCCTCAATTAAGATTCTCTTCATCTTCGCCAGTAGTATTAGAAGAGAATTTCTCGATCGCGAATGTCTCAATGCTGGAATGAAGAAAATTATCGTTGAATTACCTTTTTGTCTTCCAGTACTGCTATTACTCCAAAAAATGTTAAGAACCATGAGGTAGTCGTAACTTTTTCTCAAGGGACTGCAGGCGAGCAATTTAATCAGTAATCTATAGCTTCCGGTTGAGCGGGCAGGATGATCTCTGAGGGAATGGAGGGGGAACGATGAAAAGCAGCAGCCAGTAATTATCTGTGTCATCGCGAGCACGCACGCAGGCCGAGGAAGAGAGGGCGCGTTGCAGCGCGAGGACCCGGCGAACGTTAAAAGGATGTTCATGTTGTTGTTAACCCCCAGTCGGTTGACAGCCATCGGTCACCGATGGTTTACAAGGGTCGGCACACTTTCCAGTCGCCCTAATTGCGCGATAATATTTTCTCATCAAACAAAGCCTGGTGGGAGGTACCCTCAGACTACCTACCCTAAAAGATCATCGGAAATTCTCGTATATTATCTAGCAGATAATACGTTCGGTTGCAAGAAGGATTCTGACTGGTTGGCTGTGCGTGAGAAATAGTGGGTTGTCGAAGAGATTGGTAACCTTCGATCTCAGTTCTACGGATAATAAGAGAGAGGTGCTAGGGGTGAGTTGGGGTGGCACAGGATGATAATTCTTGTAAGACTTCTCCAGCTCACGGATCGCAAAGTATTAAACATATTTTATTAAATATTACAAGTAAATAAAGATTCAAAGACATCGGTTATCGTTAGTGTCATTGTACAAAGAAATCGAGCAGAGAAGTGGCATAGGATTTTTATGATCCAATTGCAATTTTCATTAAAACCGAGCAACTATCTTTTCGAAGTTGTTTTATGAAAACTACAAGAGTTCGTTAAGATTTCAATTAGTTTATACTTCAGTTATACTAAATCAGCTTTTCTAATGATTTCTTAAAGTGTATGTACCTTTGCAGTAATTCTAAAAGAAGGAATTAGGAATTGATCATTTTAAAAAAACTCGCGCCTGATAAACCAGTGAGTCTTTATTGAGAAAGTCGATCACAGAGGTGCCCCTGTTCAGGTGTCTCCGACTCGGTGCATCTGTGTCGAGTCAACAGAGGCGGGAGCGATGCCGATCAAGTTGTATTATCGAGATTACGCGAACCAGAACCAGCAGAACGAGACAACCGCGGCCGCTGATTCCCAGAAAACCACCGACAGAACAGCGCTGAACTACCTGAGGAGCCAGGACCCGAACGTACCGTACTCGATCAACACGGTGCACCTGCAGAACCCTTACAAACCGCCCCAAAGGCTGGAGGGGTTCGCACCGCGGGAGAATTTTAAAGTGCGGCCAGCGTCCGTCAAGGTAAGTAGATCCTATCAACAAATTCTATCTTGGTTCGCGTCGTTCAAGCTCGAGATACTCAATTTTTAACCGGTTGCACTCGAAGATTTGTCAACTGCAAACTTTCGTTCAAACTTCAATAGAGAAAATTAGTAATATCAACCCTTTGCACTCGGAAGCTTTTCACTAGAAACATTCGACGCTATTTGAAATGAATTAATAAGAGAACATACGTAAATTAAGAAACAAAGATATTTTATAGAAATATTTTACATACTGATGCAGTATACGAAACTTAACCCTTCGCGGACGAATGTCGATATTTTGCCGAGATCAGATGTTCATATTTGCAACACTAAGACAAACGACTGATTTAATTACTAAGACAGCTGGAGATCAGTACGTAGTTTTCTTTTTCCAATTATTTAAGCAATCGATGTATAATTTAGTTTCTACTGACGATTTTCTATATTTCAAAGGACCTTCGTCCGCGAAGGGTCAATATTATATGTACCTTTGTAATTTATTATATCAAATCAAATCGTGACTGAGAGTCACCTCTCGATGAAAAAAATACGATGAATTTCATTTTCTTCGAAGACCATGTACCGGTCAAGGGACACGACGCTGAGATCGAGGTACAAGAACGGATTGCTGAAGGGGGATGTTTCAGCGACGCAACAGAACGACCGGAATAATGATAAAATGAAGTAATTCCATTTTCTTGATCTTTCGCGAGGAACATTTTCCAAGCCGGAGATTTCAATTTCGGCGACACTCGACGCGTATGTAGGGCGTAACGAAGCGTACATAATCAACGGTTAATTTTTGTTGTGAACACGAAAGTTTCGTTACGCTCTAGATACGGTGATTCCTAGCTGGTAAGAGTAATGTTTCGTGTACCTGGTAAGAGCAAGTTCAACGGTTACAGATGCCTGCAAATTAGGAAAAACGAGCGTGTGCGACAGTGCCTGAAGAAAATTGAAATTAAGAACGCTCTGAAACAGTACTGCAACAACTCGAGCCTCCACGGATTGCGTTACGTCGGCGACTCGAATCTGACGATCGCTGAAAGGTGATTACCGATGAAAATACAGTTACAACTTTATTCCAGCTGTCCGATCACTTAGGAATAAAATAGGAGAAGTAGAATTCCTATGGGATTAATAGAACATCAGATAAAAATTCATTCCCGTTGTAAGATCTAACACGTTAAGCGACACCGAAGAGGTTTTTCTTTTGTAGCAACGAAAAGCGGGAACAATTATTAACTATTTGGCGTTGCAACGTTTGCACTACACTATTATCAACTTAGTTACATTATTAAACATCCTCATTTCACGCTATTTTGTACGTTACGATTGTTTTCTAGAAGCGTCACTCATTAGTGGCTAACACGGCGCTTAACGCGTTGAAAATTGAACTTTATGTATTTTCTTTTGTTCAGAGTATTCTGGATGATATCGTTTACGCTCGCGGTGATGACCGCCTCGTATTACATATGGTTCCTGTATAAAAAATGGGTCACCACGCCGATCATCATTTCCTTAAGCCCGGAGCCCATATCTCTAAACGAGTTCCCTTTTCCCTCGGTGACCGTTTGCAACATGAACAACGCGAAGAAGAGCATGGCGGAACTAATACTCGCCGGGTAAAATTTATCGATCAACCGCGCGGACGGTGTATTATTTAAAAAAAAAAAATAATAAAACCTGTAATGCGTGTCAGGAAGGATAGCCGGAAGAAGCTGTTATTGGAAGACAAGTGCAGCACCGAGGTGAACCTCACCGCGTACGATCTTGATGAGACCTCAATAACGTGGAATAACATGCTTCAGTTTACGATCAACGTATGTAACGTATTAAATACCCTTTCATTGCGGTAGATTATCGCGATAACGTAATGTACTTGTTACCTGCGCCTGATCCCCGTGTAAGGATATGATATTACAGTTTATACGCGCGGAAGGTATTATTAAATTGCAGCGTACAAATGATTCTCGCCGCTTCTAGCTTCACGGTACATAGACCGACCGGCAGGAATCATTTCATCGCTTTTATTGGAATAAACATTTCAGCTTATAATTCACGGTAGTTCAACGGCAGATGGATTTTTAATACGTTCACGTACCAACGAACCGAGAGTTTCTTGTTATTTGTAATCGACAGGTGTCACAATCCTGCGCAGAAATGCTGCACCGCTGCGAATGGCGCGGGAATATGACTGATTGCGAGAAGATATTCAATCCCACCATGACCGACGAGGGATTGTGTTGTAACTTCAATTCCGTTCATAAGAAGTACCTGTTTTATAAACCGTGAGTCTGTTAACCTTTTGAAAACTATAATAGTCGTTTTCATTGGGTAGAAATAAGGGGCGGAGTCTAGATAAAGAAACGGCGGGAGGGTGGGTGTGGCTAAACTGTAGACTGATAGGTACTTTCTAATCAGGCTGTACAAAGTGTTCTACCTAATTTCATCAGGCAAAGTAAAGTATATATTAGAATTAATATTGTAACATTTCATTTGTCATTGGGTACAAATAAGGGGCGGAGTCTAGATAAGCGAAAGAAACGGTGGGAGAGTGGGTGTGGCTAAACTGTAGACTGATAGGTACTTTCTAATCCGACTGTACAAAGTGTTCTATCTAATTTCATCGCGCAAAGTATGACAAATGAAACGTTATAATATTAGAATAATTAATATTGACCTCTGTTTCCCGTTCGGAAGAAATAATTCAGTGAATCGTAGACTGAATGTTCAATTAACATCATCCTCCAACTCGTTTCAAACTACGGCTTCGGCGGAAGTAACTTTCGCCTAGAGTGCACGCTCAAGCTGGAAGCGAACTTTGTTGGAAAGTTTCTAGTAGCCCCTCACCGTTCCAGAGAGGATTTGTCCCTACTGAACAACACGTACCCGTACAATAGCATCGACTGGAATCCCGAAACTGGTTACGACGATAGCGTGCTAGCAGAATCTATACCTTGGAGGCCGTACGGTGCCGGACAGTACTATGGTTTGACTTTGGTCTTGGACGCGGACATCGCTGAATATTATTGTTCCTCCACCGCTAGCGTGGGTTTCAAGGTACATGTAGTTCTTAACCGAACCACCTTCGAAAGAATCTTTGAGAAAAGAACTGCCAGAAATACAAAATCTAGGGGAATTAACCCTTTGCGCTCGGAAGTCTTTGAGTAGAAATATATATAAGTTAAGAAACAAAGTTACTGTTTCTATATTTCACATGTTTGTGGACTATACGGAGTTGAATATTGTGCAAGGCTTTATAATTCTGGTATATCGAATCGAATGGCGAACGACAGTCACCTCTCGAGTGCAAAGTGTTAAAACTGTGGGTTAGAAAAGCAGCGAACAGTAAGAAAGATGAATTTTAGATGCTTCTGCATAACCCGGTGGAGACACCGAAGATAGCCGAATACGCGTTCGCGATAACCCCAGGTGAGGAGACTAGGATACTCGTGACGCCCCAGATATCGACCGCCATGAAGACGATAATCAACGTTCCCCAGAAGAAGAGGAAGTGCTTCTTCACGTCGGAGAGAAAGCTGCTCTACTATAGGACCTACACGCAGAGGAACTGCATCCTGGAGTGCGAGGCGAATTTCACGCAGAAGATCTGCCAATGCGTGCAATATTACATGCCAAGTAATCTTCGTTGTGAAAAACCGTCATGCTCGTTTTCTGCTTGTATCAGTTCCAGAAAGTCTTTCGCACAGACCGTAGAAACGCCCAAAGGCGTGGTTTTGATGTAGTGGAGACAAAAGGGGCGGAGCTTCGGTAGTTCCACCGAAGATCCTCCCGTTGCGATTGTTGTGTTACATATTGTTTCGTTCCTCCTTTTGTGTATAATTATTGAAGTCTTTATATTCAGAGTCCTTGAACACACCGATCTGCGAGAAAAAAGACGATCAGTGCGCGACGACGGCCCGTCGAGCAATGGAGAGGCAATTTTACGATGACGATGGCAGTACGATTTCCATAAACGCCTCCGAAACGTGAGTACAGTAGTTATTCGTATTTCTTGAAACATTGTCGCCAACAGATACTTGTAGGCAGAGCTGTAACTGCTACCCAGGCTGCTTCGAGATCAATTATAACGTGGAGATATCGCAGAGTAAGATAGTGCCCTCTTTCAACATCGATGAGATCTACGTGAAGAAGGATAGAGAGTATTTCGCGTAATGTCTCTTGGGATTCTCGTGAGAATGAAAAGAAAGCTATAATTTTTATGCAGCTATAACGTATTAATCTAGAATTATTTGTATTCGATCACGACTAACGTTCGCTTTTTCCCCATAGCAAAAACATGGCGGTGGTCCATTTATTCTTCGTAGAGACTCAGTTCACTAAGTTCGTGAAAAATGATCTGTTCGGATTCACTGAATTCCTCTGTAAGTTGATAAGTACATCTTCTCTCTTCGTTGTTAGTACTGCTCCGCCCCTTGTTAGGTCGGTCGGTCACGCCCCCTGTCTTCCTTGCTCCGCCCACTCGATACCATGTAGATATCTCTCTAAAGACTTGGCTGTTTCTTTCAGCAAGTACCGGCGGTCTGTTGGGACTGTTTATGGGCTTCAGTTTTATGTCGCTGGTGGAAGTCGTCTATTTTATGACACTGCGGATCTGGTGTCGAATATTTAGAAACGGTCACGCCCACCGTAACACCCTCCAAGTGCATCCATTGGATCCCAGTAAAAACGTCGTTTATCCGTTCATGCAGTGACATCTTGACTTCTCTTTCTCAGAAAGTCGTTATTATCCTTGAACATCGGCGAGGTGTTAATTAGATACATGAAATTGAAGTACCACCTTAATTAGTCACCATTTTTCCCGCGACTTAATTATATCGAAGATTTGGTATTTGTCGTCAGTATCTTCTAGCGATTAAATTTGTGCCAGGCGCACACATACACACACATACACACACGCTGCAGGAAAATATACAGAATTTTTAACGAATTCCAACATTTCTTCCGTTATTCGAACGCAACGCTGTACAGTGAAAGTCAATAAGGATCGCAACTGTGGACTAACTTTTGACGGGGACTACACGAAGATGTATATAAGGTGTGTTGCAGCAGTGTGCGATCACGTTACACTGCTTTGAGCCGAGGTACATAACGTGTCAAATAAATATTCTGGTTCAAACACACGAACAGCATACGGAGATGAACATTTTTCAACGCAAAATTCATGGACCGTTAAATCGATTTTTCCAGGTTTATCCGTCACGTGTAAGCTTACGTGATTCCACGATCGTACTCGCCTGAAATTTGCTTACCTTAATTTTAATGTCTTACATACTGTAATTTACACTTATCTCAACAACCTTATCTGACCAGGTAATTTATTACGATGCTGTCATAGCCGAGCATACGAGCACTCGTTAATACGCGTTATTTACAAACAACGGGTAGAACGGTTCCGAATTCATGACAACAATCATACACGATTTCTACGGCGGTATCGTGATATTTCATCTGGCGTGTAAATCTTTGTGAAATAGTTTCATCAACATTTCGGTACAATTGCGGTCCGAAGTCTAGACTTCGAGCTAGACAACGCGGCGTACTATCAGGAAGAATCAGAATCTATCAGTGAAACGCAGCATGCGAGTACGCCAACGAACGGCGGGAGATGATATTCATCGTTAAAATTCATTAGAGTAATCTAACTGTTACTTTATCGAATGTCAGAATCTAAACCTGCCAAAACACAAGTGTAGTGCTGTCTGAAGGATAGTGCGTGCCTCGAATTGACTTACCTTTGGCGTGATGCTTTCGGCGGAACGTCAACCATAATCAGGTAGCATCCTCAGGAACGTCCGGAGGCGACGGCGGCTCGTGACGCTAATCCGGGGATTCGTCGAGACAGAAAAATTCGTCTAATCAGAAACTAAACACGGTTCACAGTTCTCCACGACGCCATGTTTATTCCTGCACGGTACGGGTGTGACTATATTCATTCGTTATCGCACGCGACCAAGTTCACGGCGCTCGGCTCGTCTGCGCGTGCGCGAGACTTTCCCGCGTTTATTCGAACGTGCCGCTATCAAAACGAACTAACACGTTGAATGCCGCAGGATTTCATAGAGCGAAATACCGAAAATGGAAAGAATATAATATTAAATGGTCCGAGCGAATTGTATTGTCATTATCACGCGTTTATCTAGCTGAATGTCACCGTTATTGTTAACGTTATTTATAATATAGAAACGTTTTCAGATAATCGTCGTTCAATTAAGTGAACTATAGTAATTCCATGGCATTGAACGTGTTAAAACAATTTTACGATCAACTTCCGAGGCTCAAAGTTCACTCTTCGTGACTCGATGTAATTGGAACACAACGATGAACATTATAGTTGCCGTGAACTTCTCGAATGTTAAAAAAAAAGAAACGGAAGAACGATGATAATAGAAGATAAAATATC